GCACAGACTGGCTCCCCACAGACGGGCCACAGTGCAGACTGACCTTTTCCTTTTCAGAATTGGCATTTCCACCCTTGCTGGCTGGGTCCGTGTCGTCCCTCACCAGCTGCAAGAGACATGGAGCTGCCGTGGACAGCGGCCCGATGTTTGGCCCAGTTGGGGTGCAAGTAAGAAACCTGTACCCTGAGAACCTCACACCAGGCGCCAAGCCTTGTGCTTGTCCCCATTCTTGGCCCATGTTCATCCAATTAAACTGGGCCTTGAAATCCAACCCAATCCATCCACTGGTATCTTTAAAGATGACCCAAATCTTAGGCCAGAGTCCCTGAAGAGGTCCCTATGAAGCCAGGGACCTAATTTGTGTTACCCCAGGGTCTGGCATTCTAGGCGCAGAGTAGTACCTCAAATTTTGCTCAATAAGTGCAAGCCATGTAGTATAAAACATCCGACAGCCTGCAGTCCCCAGGCGCCCACAGCTAAGCCAGGATCACAGGCCAGAACAGCCCCCTAGGCACTAAGGAGATCACAAATGCCACCCCCACACACACACCCGTTGGTTAATTGTAATATCTTACTTCTGGGACAAACACTACCACAAGTGCACGAAGGGATCAAACTACTCTATTAGCAAACATGCACTGGGGGGTTTGGGGGTGGAGTCGCTAACAGTGGGCATGAAGTTTCAGTTAAGCAACAGGATGACCTTCGAGAGCCCTGCTGTACATCCTGCCTACAGGTCACAGTACTGTACTGTATGCTGACAAGTTTGAGGGTAGACCTCATGTTGTGTTCTTCCCACAACTAATTTTATATATATATAAAATAAAAATAAAAAGACTTCCATATTACAAAAACAACCAAACGTATTAAGCACCTGTGTTGTGCCCGGCAACGTTCTCGGTGTTGGGACTGAGGCAGTGAATGAAGTCCCTGCCCTCGCGGAACTTACGTAAGAGGAGAGAAGACCAAAAAGGAAGAAAACAAAATGTGGCACGTGGTGGCAGGTGCTAGAAAGTTCAGCAAGCAGGAGGGAGGGACAGGCGAGCAAGGGCGGTGGAAACGGGCGGGGAGGGCCCTCCTGCAGAACCGCGAACCTGGACTTGGAGAAGCCGGCGGCGTGCGGGAGCCCGGGAGAGGTCATCAGGCAAAGGAAAGATGGCAGAGGCCGCGCGGGTTTGCTCACAGCTGGGGCCAGTTCTTCCTCACAGCCCTAACACGGTCTCACCGCTCCCCTTCCTCTCATTCCCAATAAAATCAGAACTCACACGTGTTCGTCTGCCTTGTGTTTGTCCCATTACTTTGCCTTCCAGGTTCAAGCAGGTGCCCCCCTGTGGGGCCCATACTCTGGGACTCTGTACACCTCTGGGATTTATGAAATTCAATATAATCCCCCTCATGGCTCCAATATACAGTGGTCCGTGAATTCTCTCCTGAGCCAAACCTGCACACCCCACCCCACCAAGACACGTCCACTCCATGTCCCACTGGGACATCAAACTCAGTGGGCACAGGGCCAAACACCTTGGAATCAGGGAACCCCATTCCCCAGGGGTTTGGTGAGCTCTTTCTCCCTGGCCACCTCCCTCTCAGCCCACTGGGTCTGCAAAGTCAATCCACTCGGTCCTCTCATCAGCGACCCACCTTCAACTCAGGCCACTGTGACTCCACTCACCTGTGACAATGCTTTGGCCTCCGAACCAGCTTCTAGCCTTCCAAAGTCACATCCCTCCCCACTGACCTCACCCAAAAACCAGCAGCCTGTCCAAGCCTGTCACCATTTGCAACCCTCCGACCAGCCTGAGCCCATGCTGTTCTGAGCGTACCCAAATCCCTTCCACCTGCAAGCCTCTGTCCATGCTGTCCCCACCCTCCAGCGCTTCACTGGCATCCCCCTCCCAGGCCCGGACAGAGCTCTCAGCCAGCAGGGGGCACACACACAGTAGGACCTTAACAGAGACGCGCTGAATGGCAGTGGCGCAGCCTCTGGCTTCTTGATCACAGGGGCACAAGCCCTGGCTGGCTACTCGGAAGAGGATGGTCTGAATGCAGCTCAGCTGCTGCCTTCCACTGGGAAGGCCTTTGCTGCTCAGCCTGAGGCCCCCGCGAGACCTGGCAAAACTGAACCGCATAAAGGACCCGGCTCTTGCCGCTCTTGCCACACTTGCCAGTTGCTGCTTCAACAGCATCCAGTTGTGAAGGGTGACTCATTTTTAAATCATCTTTAAGCTGCAGATCCCCTAAAATGAAGCCCATGGCCAGCAGCATCAGCTGGGCTCCAACCCCAGAGACTAGACAGTGCCTTTGCCGTCCCTGCCCCCACCCCCACCTGCTGGGTGGATCCCTGCAGAGAAGGCAGGCGTATTCACCTGCCTGGCGTCCTGGAAGGCGAACACTGTGGGCACAGCATTGTGCTTCAGATTCTTGCGGTTTCCAAAGGCACTGAAGCACTCAGGGCGGAAGTGCTCCGAGCAGATGACCGTGTGCTGTTTGGGCTCGAAGTTGCCCCGGCCGATGTTCAGCACCCATTCCTTCAGCAGCTCGGGCCGGCTGAACGGGAACCTAGGGGGCAAAGAAGGAGGCATGAGGGAATGAACCAGGCTGGATTCAGCACTTCGGATTCTCCGGGCATTTTCACATCACCACACAGTATTCTAGACAGCTTGGAAAATCACTCTGTTAAACCACGTCCAAGTTCTGGAAGCTTCTGTCATGGCTGTTTACGGCATCCTTAGGAAACTTGAGACCATGACCATGGCCAAAGAGCTGTTTCCAAAGCTACATGTGCCAGGTGAGCCTTCATTTGTCCCCTTGGGAGCCCACCAGATTGGGGTCTGCTCTGGATGCTGGGGGTATGGGAGCAAGGCAGCCCGGCCCTGGAACATTCCAGAACGGGTAGACATAAGGTAAACTAGACAGACGTGGAATGTGTAGAAATGAAGAGTAGGATGTGGTCAGGGAAGGCCACCTGAGAGGTGTCATTTGAGCAGAGGCTTCAGGGAGTGGGATCGTGTGTGGCTATCAGAAGGGAGAGCAAGGGACAGGCTTGTGCCTGGCATGTTCAAGGAGCAACAAGAGAAGCAGCTTTGGCTGAGACAGAGCAAGACAAGGAGTGGGGACTGAAGGACACAGGTCTCAGGCAGATGGGGGATCCCTGGAGGCTCTGGGCAGAGGGTGATGCCCAAGCCCGCCCTCGCTACTGCAGGAGGGTACAAGGTAGCTGGAGCGTCAGCAGGAGGAGTTAACAAGTGGGCAGATCTGGGATGTATTTCAAAAGGCATGCAATAAGGTTTGCCTGTGGGCCATGACATAAGGAGAGGAGGAAGTGTCAGGGGGCAGTAGGAGGGGCCGGTCTGGAACCTGGGAACTTTGGTTTTACATGTTAGATGTTAAATTTGAAGTGCTTTTTAAATTGTCTGGAGACATCAATGTGAGAGGGTTGCTATCCCTCCCTAAAGGGTGGCAAAGGCCTGGGTGAGATCAGTGCCCTGGGGAGCAAGTGTGGGCAGGGTCAATGCAGGGCCATGAACCTAGTCCCGAAGTGCTCCAATGTCTAGTGTTGGAAATAAGAAGGATCCAGCAAAGGACATTGAGTAGGGAGTGTGACTAAGGAAGAGACTGAGAGGTGTCCTAGAAGCCAAGTGTCTCAAAGGGTCAATGGTTAGTTGTGTCGAATGCTACAGAGAAGTCAACTCAGACAATGGGACCACTGCATTTGCCATCGTGAGGGCCACTGGGGAACTGACAGAGCTCTTCTGTGCAAGAGTCTGATTGGAATGGGTCTGAGAGTGAACGGAAGACAACTCCACCCCCAGGTATATATATACCTGACTGAAACATAGAGATACGTGCACCAGAAGACTGGTCCCAGCAAAAATATTGATCCATATGTTTGTGATGGACCAAAACACGGAGACACCCAATGCCCTTCAAATCTAGAACCAATTAATTTTGGTTCACACATTCAATGGAATACTATGCAGCAATGAAAAGGAGTGAACTGCCATTGAACACATGAGTCACAACTGTGGACAAAAACCAGGGGGTTCTATGGAAAGTAGACTCACAGGGTGATCTGATCATAAATTCCTAACAGGGCAGGTCATGCTGGGTAGTCACACCCCAGGACACTATTTACACACTTACACACATACATACATAAATATATAAATTTGAATATGCCTTTATTGATTTCCAAGAGAGGAAGGGGGGGAGAGGGAAACATCAATGATGAGTCATTGATGGGCTGCCTCTTGCACACCCCCTCAGTGGGGACCGAGCTCACAACCCCAATCAAACTGCCATCTCCTGGATCACAGGTGGATGCTCAACTGCTGAGCCACGCTGACTGGGCTATAATTTCTTTAGTAAACGGTTTACCTGGTGCCTTGTCCATCTGTTTCCTAAAGGTGGGAGTTTTAGGGGAGGATCTCAGTAGAGATCAGCTTTATGCTGATGTATCAAAAATGAGATTTATTCTCTTCAAGTGTCCTTCGGTGTGGTTGGCAAATGGCACCAACTGGATTTCTGCTGTCTCCTGGAGTAGGGTGATTTGGGCTATTTACGCTCTGGTTGGGGGGGGGAGTGCAAACCCTTTACTCTGAAGTGCCCCTGGTTTAGGGGAGACAGGTCTTCTAGACGGCTGCACACCGCTGTTTCACTCTCGGTTTCCCGTTCCGCTGCACGCGGCTTCCCAGCCTCTCAGCACCGCCCGGGAGGCCCCGAGCTCGGTCAGGCCCGCCCCCCGCTGGGCAGGCTGCTCAGCCTCTCCCACCGCCTTCCCAAGCGCCCGGGCCGGCGGAGAGGCGCGGGTCCCCGTGCCCGAG